TTCTGTTGGTATCCGGCGGCCATATTGGTGTTCCTGAAAGGGACACCAACATGGCGTTTCCATACAAAGCTTTATAAATTTAGGTAATTTAGGTAAACCGTTTTTCCCAATATCTCGCATTTGAAAATAAAGTGTCTGGACTAAGAACCGTTCCCAAAAACATATAAATAGAAAAAAGTAAAGGGTCTAAGATCAGGAAGACATAACTTACCAAACCATTTTTATTTTTCATTGCGTGACAGTGCAAGCCGAGAATAAGGATATGGATTACACTATGATTCGTCACGGCGGTTTAGGCTATTAAGTTTAAGAGTCATGGCCTTATCTATCAAATGCGACTCCCTAGCTAGCCTTACGAACTGAGTCACGTGAAGAATGAATTTTCTCTAGTGGGATTAACTGCATGTCAGTATGAGAATGGTTAGAGTGAGAGAGAAAGTGTTCAGAAAAAGTAGTGGGCTCAGATTTAATGTTAGTTTTGTCGACTGCACGTCTGTGTTCGTTGACTCTGTCCTTGAGGCGTCGCCTAGTTTCACCTATATATTGTAAATTACAACGGTTACCTTGAACCATGTAGATCACGTTTTTAGTGTTACAAAGAAATTTGGGAAGTTATGGCGCGTGTTTCACCTGTAGCGTACAAAGTATAGCTTGTAAGGCCGCTAGTAATGTATGGACAAGTGGCATAATTTTGTCCACAGCGGAAGGAGCCTGGCGGAAAATGCTACTTAGAGATATTGGGTAATTGTGCTTTAACTAAAAGGACATGAAGGTTAGGGCTACTACTTGAGGGCGTAAAAAATCGACTACACCGGCCACAGTGAACAGAGACTTTTCCACGAGAAACAGAAATGGCTGGCTAACGCCTCGTTGGTTGGTTTCTAGCTTACAGGGAAAAGTAACAGCCAATTAGACATTGGCGAAATGTATGCATAATGGGTACACAGAACGATCTGAGAAGCGATTTCACGATGGAACACCATGTGGAGTGGCTTCTGCAGGAAGTGGATGTAGAATCATCACCTCAAACTGTTGTCCACAACATTCTGCAATGGACGAACCGATCGCCGCGGGAACAACGCGCAGGCTTCTGAGCCCGCTTTTCCCGGCCTTAATCATCCTCGGAGACCCTGGGGCAGATAGTGGGGGCGAGAGAAAGTCTAAACGGGCGGAAAAATATGGCACGAAGAAAAGTAAAGAACGGCGAGAAGAGCCCCTGGGGAAAATGTCTTACCAGACCAGTTCCAGACGGTCGCCGCTGTTCTGGCTTCTGATTGGTGGCAGAAAACTTGTGTTTTTCTGGCACCAATCAGAAGCCAGAACGGCGGCGACTGTCTGGAAGTGGTCTGGTAAGACATTGTCCCCAGGGGCTCTTCTCGCCGTTCTTTTTACTTTTCTTCTTGCCATATTTTTCCGCCCGTTTAGACTTTCCCTCGCCCCCACTATTTGCCCCTGGGTCTCCGAGGATGGGCCTTAATGAGAACCAAAAAAATTCGGAACACCAAACCCGCAAGCGTCGGTAAGGACAATAGCAGTGACAGTGAACCCATATTTTTTGAAAATTTCTTTCACTCCTTCGAAAAGCGGCAGGCTTTTTGCTCTCTCCGCAATCTCTGTTTCTCCTCTTCACGCTCAGCTACTCTGGCTTCAGCGGCTTCTTTTTCAGAAGGCAAGTGTTTGCGTAATTGATTAATGCTTTATCTTCCCATTTTTGGCGTTCAAGCTCGGATTCTTGGTCCCTAAGGTCGTAGAGTGGTTTCGTGCTGTTGAGTCCTTCTTCGGGTGTGTTTGTTTCCTTTTCCTTGGAAGCAATAGTTCTCAGCTTATCGACTTCTTTTTGTGATTTCTCCATCTTTTTTTGTTGTTTTTGCGTATCACAAAGCTCTGTTTTAGCGTTTTCAAGATCAGCTTGAAGGTTTTTTTCAGTAGTTCGAGGCATTGCAGTTCGCCTTCACTTCCATGTTCTTCATCAAAAGCATCAATCTTGGCTTGGGTTTGTTCGATTTTGTTTCTCAAAGTTTGCACCTCATCATTGGCTCGTTGGCGATCGGCGGCAATTCTTTTCTTCTCTCGTAGTTGTTTATCCGCCTCTCGTAATCGTTGATTTTCTTCTCTGATCGATTTATTTTCGTTTGCTATGATATCTTCGGCTTTTGGCCCAGGAGGATTTTTGAGTCTACCTGTGAATTATTTCAGCAGGCCCGAATCGTCTTTCTTTAAAATGTCGTTTTTTTTTGGCCCAAACGAAACTATTTTAGCTTCATCTCCTTTTTTGCTAAACCCGATTCGCCCAAGTTTGGCAAAGTTGACTTTCGGAAATCTTCTCTTGATAATGTCAAGTATTGCTGGTTTGTCGTCATCGAGTAAAAAACCTCCAATCAGAGGTATGTTTTCATCGAAAACAATTGGACTAACTGCGAGGTTAAGACATATTGTTCTCAGTTGCACCCTCCTAAATTTTATCAGTCGCCAATCGCACCTTATCTAACTTGAGGGCTTATCTCTTAGACAACGCGTTTAAAACTTTCCTTGACCAAATTATTTGTCCTTCAAAAACGCGCACTGCGTTTAATATATTTTCCTGAAACAAACGACCACGTTAAAGAGGTTTCTGGCAGCCCACTTTGTTCTTCAGGAAGCATATGGATTTCAATTTTTTCACCTACGTGGCAAGGGGTGAATGCAGAGCCCGGTTGAGAGGGTCAGGTGCGGTTAACTCCTTGCTCGTCATCGTCATCATCTTTATCATCGTGGTCGAGGTGTAAGTCAAGGTCGGCGTTCTAATCGACAAAACCGCCTTCTGCCATTTTATATGTATATGTATAATGGACGACGGGGTTGCCATAAAAAAATTCTTCGACCAACGCACAACGAAAAAACGCTCGGCGCTATGAAGGCCGAACGCACTTATGATCATATTATGAGAGACGAGGTAAAGACCTTTTCAAAAAATGCTGAAAGCAGGCTCAACATAAAGGTGAACCCTCAGCGAAGGTCACTCATGGGAATCCTTCTGCTCTTCATTGAACCCTGCGCAGCTGGCGCCCGAGACTCGAAAAAATACGTTAACTCCGATATCACCAAAATGACGTCACGGTGAACGGCTCGAGCAAAAAGGTTTATGATAACGGAATCGATGGGAATGACATGTGGAGAGATCAGCCGTTTCTTTTATCCCCCAAAAAGGTACAAGCAACATGGACCTGACCAAGTTCTACACTGGGAACAAGTTTGGGTTTTTAATCGACTTACGTCCCATGGCGGACACCAAAATGCACGGCAGTGACGTCTGTCTTGTGAACACCAAAGACGGTGTGTTCCTTGAACTCGACAGAAAGATCTCTGGCTCGGAAAATCTGAAATGCCACGTCACGTCTTCACAGTCAGCTATTCTCAGATGAACATTATGGACAGACAGCTCCAGTCTGGGCAGCATTAAATATAAATGGACCCAAACAACATTCCTTTTAACGCTCTGATCGTGGGCCAGACAAACTCCGGTAAAACCCAATACCTCGTGAACCAGCTGAGGGGCTGTTTTCGAGGCAAGTTTGATGGTTTTGATATGCCCAACCTTTGTCCGCAACAAAACCTACGTCGGGTTTGTGGATCACGATTCGCGTATTTTTGTCATTGATTGCCCGCAAGAAGAGTTCAAAGTCTGGCTTAGACTTCGCAGCTATTTTTTCAGGGAAGAAATACGCTTATTGTTTTGGACGATTGCGCTGTCTCGAAGGACGTGAAGGGCCGCACAAGTTAGCTGGTTTCTCTCGGCTTTTCAGCACGCCATGCAGGCATAAGCGTTTGAGTTTTGACACAGCAGATCACCAGCATTGCAAAACCCTTTCCCTGAAAACGTGGCCGCCATTGTTCTGTTTTATCACTCCGTCGGCCAAAACCGCGAAAGCCATCTTTGAAGACTCCGCCGGCAAGCTTTCCTCCCAAGAGTACAAGGAACTGATGGCGGAGCTGAAAAATAAAAATTTCCTTATCTGGTCTTTGCCCTGCACCATTCCTACGGTATCAAACCTCAAAATTCAAAACTTTGGCTTTAGACCATGGCTGCTGCCAAAGAACAAGCGCTGAGCGAAGTCATGTAAGTGCTGGAGGCCACTCCAGACAGTTAGGTCGAAACCCTCAGATTTGTCTGTTTCGCTCCCTTCCAACAACGTTCCAGAAGAACATGAAAAGCTGGCTGTGCTTGTTTCTACGGGAAAATCCAAACAGGCGCTGGGCGCCCAACTTTTTCATGACCAGGTGAAACGCCTCTTGGCAGCGGTGTGCATAAATTTTACAAAGGATATGAGGCCTACGTGGGTAGCAACACAACCAAGACTTTGATTCAAAGTTTTTTTTTTGATGCTTGACACTTTGTCAAAGTGGATAACGTGGAAGCTTTGCAAATGTACCTGCAAGATCTCGTCACCAACTCGACAGTGTCGTCTGTGGCCGGAAATATAATACTGCGCTGCAGCCGCCTGCTTGCGGTTGCCAACGCTGCTCTAATCACAGTCAAACACATCGACTTTAAGAAAGAACCTGCAAAGGAACCTGTCAAAGAAAGTAGCCAAGAACCTTGCAAAGAAGCTGACTAAGAACCTGAAATAACCTCACAATTTTTCACATTATTTTATACAACATGGAAAAGAAAGCTGATGCACCTGCTGAAGTTCCAGAGTGTGTTTTGTCAAAAGTTCCTACAACAAAACATCCTGGGGGAGTTGCGGTTAGTAAAAAGGTAGCAAAACGACCCAGCCTGGTAAGTGAGGCAAAAAAGGACCAAAAACGCCCCTGCAAAGCATTTTCTTAACCTTGTAGCCATTTTTATTTTAGTCTTAAGATTTGAGCCATTTTTACAACTTTTAACAAATTTTATTGCTTAAGTAAAGCGCTTTAATGAACTTTATTAATTAAGGACTCACTCTACCAGGCGTATTATTTATCACGGATTATCTATCTATAGTACAAAAAAGGCTGTTTTGGTACAGCCAGTTAATGTTATTATAATTCAATTAATATTTTCGCGCAGATGATCGCCAGCGGATGATGGTCTGTTCATAAGCAGTTAGGTCTCTTTCTTTGGGAAACGAGGCTCCACGTTTCCTGATCTATTGTATTATTATTTTGGCGTCGCCCAAATTGACTAATCGAGTTCGCTCGTTCTCATTCAAAGTTGCAATAGGCACGCAATACGTGCGAAGGTAGACAAGCCAAGTAAGCAAGCCAAGCGACGCGAATGTCTGCCGCGCGCTGTGTCACAACACAGCATTTATCTTCGTTACATACGACCCACAGATAACGCACGGCAAACAAATCAGCAATAGAAAACAAACTGTTTGGAAAAAACAAAGTACACTGAGTGAAACAAACTATTTCAAAATAATTTAAATTTTCCATTTGGAAAATAATCGCCCTCGCAGCACACGGTGTGAATGGTTTGCCTTATTGCCAAGAGTTTGACAATAGTTTTACTCTCAGTTTTCGAGCGCCAAAGAAGATGTCACGCAGACTTCCCTTATCTCGTGCACGAGATTATTAAGGGTAACATTAAATGATGTACAATTTCATTGCATATTTTCGGAAAGGAGGCGATTTCTTAAAATCTTATTGAGTAAAATGACCTCGTAAAATAAGCCGTAAAAGAGGCAGAGTCAAACATCTTCAAGCGCAAACCGCAGTCTATTTTTAAAACCCTTGGGTTAATTACATTAAGTCGTAGGCTGTTTACCATTTACCTAATTTCCCGGAAAATCCGGTTGGAAGTAAATGGAAAAGGACTTTTTGGGTCGTTCCATCGAAAAATTTCCGGGCTCACGGAATATCTGAAAGAATAGTCCTGTTTTTCCGGACGGAATATTCCAAACGAAAATTCGTGTTCCATTACTTCAAAGCCAACTTTTATACCGGGTTCAGGCGTTCGCAGTCGTCTTTTGGTAAATGGAACTGATTTGTAAAAATGGTAAAAGAGATTGCGGGACGAAATTAACCAGCCCTGAATTTTGACTACCATTTGCCCACCGTGGACCGACCGGTTTGCCCATGTAAATGGTAAACAACCGTATTCTCTCATACACGAACCACGAAAGTGGCAAATTCCAAACCTTTCACTTGCAAACTGCGTGACAAGACAACTCACAGTAAGGGCCTGATCACACGAGCCGGGGAAGCAATGCACATGAACAGTGTGTTACCCGCTTGGTTCATTCGCCGGGCCGCCCCCCCAAGCGTAATTACTTGGAAAATTTCCACTCGGGATCCCTGCATCACAATACTGGGATACCAGCTAGCCGGGCTGGCTCGGTTGTAAGATAATCACAAAGTTGATTTTTCTTGCGTTTAACCAAGGTGCCGGGATCTCTGCAAAGCGAACCAACCCGGCTCATATAATCAGGCCCTTAGTTCTATAGACAGATTTTACGCCCTCCCCTTGACCTCACCGCTTTTTCAAAGCCCCCGAGCTCAGACACAAAATTTTAGCCCCCCCTTAACATCTTCATACCCCATTTTCTATATTAAATGAACTTCTGGCCTTATCCATACTCTCTCCATACAAATACAGTTGAATCCCGATAACTCGGGATTTCCGTCATACATTTACTGTAATTTTACCCTCGGTAACTCGAACCTCCCGCTAACTCGTAGTAATTTTTGTTTTCTCTCAGATCATTTCTACATAATTTTACCCTGGATAACTCGAACCACGTATTGAGCGTTTTAAAAAGTCGGAGAAAAAAACAGTGCGCCGGCGTCCGAAACATTCTATTAAGGCCCGATTCAGACGCCGAACTTTTCATGTACTTAATTCAATGTATTAGGTTCGGCTCATGAAAAGTGCGGCGTCTGAACCGGGCCTTAGGTTATGTTTTGTTGCGTTTACGTTGTGATTAGGCTTGATTATCAGCCGCTTTCGGGAAAATGAGCCCGTACTCAGAAGTATCTTTCAATTTTCACCTACCTTTTCTACAATTAAATGCGATTAAAATGTTCACTGTACAGTAAAAACTAGTTTTTCCCTTACTTCCGGCTAATTGGTTCTTGCTCCCGATAACTCGAACTTTTTTCGATTTCTCTTGAAGGCTCGAGTTATCAGCATTCGACTGAAACAGAAAGCCTAACAACGTTTAAAGTAAGTACATCAAGTATGTTTTCAAGTATTGATAAGACTTTCCACACACTATCCCTTCATAACCAAATTAGCACTTCCACAACTACCTCACTGCATAACCAAAAATCACTTTCACCTCCCAAAATAGTTTTTTTTGTTACTTCATATTAAATTCTACGAGAAACAAGTTTCACTGATTAACAAACTACAGCCATTATCTTACCAATTCACGTCCAATATAACTCCAAGCCTTCCACTTCACGTATCTCTACCAACCCCTAAAATATACAACGTTTCTGTAGTGCACTACTCACACATCCCTAACACACATAAAAAACTCTACGCATGCCTAGTACAACGACGCCCAAATTATACGCTCCCACGGCATCATGTTGAACTCGGTTCGCAAAAGATCGTGATGTGTCAGTGTTTTGAAGATCAATAATTTGCCTTTGCTCTTATTTCTTATATAGTACAAACCTATACCGTCAGTCTTCTGAATGTTTTCATACGTACTGGACTCTGATTCTTTCGTCCATGGGGGAGCATCCATGACATAATTGCAGAAATGACTGATAAAATAACTGTTTTCATTATACCATCTGTAGCATCTTTTACACTAAAAAATGATGGCCCATTTAAAATAGCTATAGTAACAAGTGACACAACAGGAAGTAACAAAGGCAGATAACATATGGTAGATTTAAAGCCAGTGCGCTGAGAAGTGCGAAAGTAACTATACAGTACGAAGATGAGGAAAACAATGACAACATAAATAAACAGAAAAACTGTAACACCCCACAATACGTTCATCAAAACCCCAATAACAACCCAGCAAAAATGATAAGAGGTCATGGATGCCAATATAAAGATAATAACTCGTAGTACCGCGCATTTACAGTTTTTTAGCTCTGGTATTTTTTTAAAAGAACAAATACCTCCAGCAATCAGCCCCTCAAGCATTATTATTATCAGAATTGATAAAATATGGCACTTAGCAGGAGCCTTACTTTGGCCTGATAACACAGAAGCCGCAATAAATAGTCCAAGCTCTACTATCAACATGGTTACTGAAGCCCATTTTAGAGCATTATACAAGGCCTTTTCATGACATTTCACATTGTCAAAATATATGAGAGTATAAATGGCGAGCCAAGGGCTAAGAAAGAAAGCGAAACAAAAAGAGAGCCACATTGTTGCTATTATATAAGATTTACGTCCCGCATCTGTCAGGTTCGGTTCATGTCCCTTAATGACACACTCTGCTGTGTTTAAGCTTGGATCCTGTATTCCTGGACTGATGGCGAGATCTTGAAGCTGAAAGAAAAAAATTTGGGTTTTCAACTTTATTTACATATCAATGACAATTGCAGTAAGGAGCCCAAAAGTGTGACCTCTTTTGATTTATTCACATTCTTTCGTGCAGATTTAATCCAATCAGAAGCCAGCTGGACACTGTCCTCGACTTCTGATTGGTTGATGTATGCATGAAAGAATGTGAGTTAATTGAAGGAGGTCACACTTTAGGGCTTCTTGCTGTGAATCCCTTTCATAAAAATTCAATTTTCTTCTCTAGAGATAAAGGAGGTGAAATGTGAAGAGGTCAGTGGGTAAATGCTTTCCAACTTGAATGTTTCAGTGGTTCATAGCCTCAGTTCACCTTCATTTCCTACCCTGTAAGCAGAGGTTTCTCTCTTGCATAGCTTCTGTAAAGCACTTTAGGGTGAAGTAGGTATCCTCATTAAAGATTGTCATAATTATTATTGTTAGCGTTTACGAAGTTATTCGCGTGGCTTGCCTGTCGCATGGTTGGTTGACTGACAAGCCACACAAACGACTTTTAATAATGTGATTAATGTTAAAAGCCATGCAAGAGGGAAACCTTTGCTCACAGGGTAGTCATTTCCCTGAAGCATGAGTGTTAGGTGGGGTTATTGCAACAAAAGGAAGAAATAGAAACTCCTGCACAATAATAAGTTTTTGGACAATGAGAATGAGTGATACAAGCATCCTTTAATCAGGATAAATGGTAATGTTAACGCAACCATAAAAGTGAGGAAAACTATACATGTACACTTGCGAAAATGTGAAAGTAACCTGTTACCCCCACATAATAGTTTTGGTCCCTGAGTGGAAGGAAGGGGTCCCGACATGATGTTTTCAGACTTGTGATATCTATTAGTGACAAGTCACAATCAGTGTGTTCCCCCTCAACTTGCAAACCTTTTTTTAGCAAGGACCCAAAGAAAAGGAAAAAAGTGCAACTTTTTAGTTACTAGGGAGTACATCTATTTTTTACCTTCTAGGAAGTACATCAGTCCGTCTTGGTGTGATAATAATTCCCAAGAGAAATTAGAAACAATGGTTAAGCAAAATGTTGGAGGGAAAACGATGAGTATTATGGTATTTTTTAAATACGACCTATGTCCATATTCCTAATTCCCTCATGAAAACCAAACCAATGTTTCTCCCTTTTTAAATCTGCATCTAGCTGTGGCTTTAATTCAGCTGTTAAGCCTTGGTGCTAAAAAGCTAAAAAGGCTTGTCTGAAAATTCAAAAAGTTTAATATCCATACCTATGTAGCAAATTCCTATTAAAGGGATACTACAGGTTAGGTATAAAGGTAATGTGGGGTGGAAGACTTCTCTTTTGTTAATACTGCATATATTTACAAACTGAAGATTCTTTTCTTTGTCTTGGAAATTTGGTAGGTTTTTCCTTGGGGGGAAGGTTATGGTGAGAACTATTTGGGAATGAAAGAAAAAAAAAACACATAACCCAGGCTCTTCATTTCATATCAAACAATATTTCTAGGAGTTTCATTTACATATTACGTAAACTACATGCAAATGAAAAGGTACCCAAACTTACATATACACAGAGGAAACAACCTGAGAATTTCTATCCTAAGTGTATATAATTTTACAAACCTTATGGCATTATTCAATTATTCAGTTTTAGTGCAAATTAAAGTAATTTCTCCTATTTGACTTAACTATGTTATCAATAAGAATTAAGTTCATTTTATGAAAAAAAGAAAGGACTTTTTTGGTATGTTTTGGATGACTGGACCTTGATTGGTGGAGCAGCTTTTAGTCACCCCTAGTTCCCATTACTTTTATACCCTAGTACCCCAGTCTCCTTCCCCTGGGGAAAAAACATTAAAATCTGCAATTAATATGGAGAGCAACTCTGTCAATACTTTTCTGGAATAGTATCATTATCATCAAACTCAGAAAACTGTGAACACCTGAAAAATTTCAGGAATGTTGATTGTGTACTGGCCAATCACAATCCGGGGGGGGGGGGGGGACAGGAAAAAACATAAAAATCTGAAATTAATATGGAAAGCACCTCTGTCAATTATTTTCTGAAAATATATATTTATCATAAAACTAAAAAAATTGTAAAACTTTGAAAATTTTCGGAAATTTTGTTTGTTTAGTGGCCAAACAAAAGCGGGGGGGGGGGGGGGTACTGCCATATATAGGCTATATAGGTATGCGCCGCTGTGAAGGGTATGATTTTCAAGCAGTTTGCTCTAGGATAGGGTACATAAATCAGAACATTTGGGTCTAGAATAGGGTATCATTTTTCAGGAAACTGATCAGTTGGTTGAAGATTTTATCTAGACTAAAGAAACAGCTACTCTAGGATAGGGGGATTTGGGGAGTTTACTCTAGTATAGGGTAGCAAAACTTAGCTGAACTAGCTCTGGTATAGGTTAAGGGTTCCAAGGTCCCAGCGGCACATCCCCACCCCGAAATTCCTAAAGTAACCCCCCCCGATCACAATAAAGTTCAGGATACAAAAGCAAACCTTAAAACCACAACCTAATTACCATTGCCGTTTGCGGTTTAGTTATTTCGCGCCTTATTGGCTTATTTCTCTCAACACGATAACATTCTATAAGTATTTCTGGTGTTCATGGTTTTATGAGTTTCACAGTAATTCATTTACACCTTTATACTTCTTCCTCAGAAATATGGCAAAACTGACTTGTTAAAAGGCATTTCTATTGTTTTGTTTTCCCCTCTATCTAGTTGGCTTTTATGAGACTTAATTAAGAGTGACATCTACTGCTGCATCTTGCCAATTTGCAGCACAAGAACATCCCATAGTTAACACTTAATCAAGTCAAATGGTGGATTAAAAGATCCTTGAAACCTATGTAAATGAATAAAAATTAATATAAATGATTCTTGTACTCTTCTGATTATACAGTACTGTATTTGAGGGCAATTCCCAAATATTTCCAATAATATATATAAGTCATTCTCCTCCCACCTTTGGAGCTTACATATGGAGGAGCTTTTTATGAGAGGTGGAGTTTCAAATTTATTGTTGACAACATAATGATAAGTAAACATTTTTATATCACTAGTTTTCATTGTGGACTCCTTCCCTCCCACAGCAAATTGGAAAAAAAGAATATTTAAGTTTATGTAATTGACAACCTTGTTACTTACTGATGCTAGTACAGTGTCAATCATTGTCACACGATCCTCCTGCGACACATTACAACAGAATGGTCTGATCAGTATCTTTAATTTCTGCGTCCTAGGGGTCACAAGAATTGAACAGAGGGATAGAACTTCAAGGACATCTTCAGGAAATGCAGCAAACAAACATGACATACTCCACGTGTACTTGGCTGGTCTACATTTCTCTATCCCATTGGCTCCATGCAATGTCACATGGACAAGAAGAGATGACAGCCACTTTGCAGGGTATAAGGCCTGTGAAATGTTGAAGTAATTGATACTTGACCCCAATGACTTGTAGAGTTCTTCATATGTCTGAACACAATTGGCGTTGTCATTACAAGCTGTGATCACAGTGCCATTACATGCCTCAACGGTAGTGTCATTACAAGCTGTGATCACAGTGCCATTACATGCCTCAACGGTAGTGTCATTACAAGCTGTGATCACAGTGCCATTACATGCTTCAACGGTGTTTTGTGGACAGCTGAACATCATGTTGAGTACAAAAAAAAGGAGATATGTCTTAGGACCAACTGGCAACATCCTGGCTACTGATGTTTACTCGTCAACCCACTACTAGACTGCCAATAAGTTATAAAATGAGAAGATATGCAATAGAATCCACTAAAATGTTCAGTGAACTCGTACCCAGTCGACTCTTACCCGCTTTCCAGTCGATTCGTACACAGGTTCCGCTCGCGGCTGGGTGTTGAAAAAAATGTGAAAAAATGGCAGAGCGAATACAACCCAGTGTTGATGAAAGGGCGCTTCACAAGTGAAGACTACTATTATCTCGTTGTTTAAACCACAAGGCGAAAAAAGTGCACTGTGAACTTCGTTCTAAGCCATGAAACAGGCGCTGCAAATACAAAATAAATGCTTTAGGTAAAGTTAACGATGAAATGCAATAGATTTTTGAAATATACTCTTTGTTTGTTTGTTAGTTTGTGTGTCTTGTTGACCTAATTAAGTGTATAAAGTAAAACTGAGCACGAGTCGACAGACGCCGAGTGCGAATCGACTTGCATTGGTCGCTTTTCCATACTTTTCGGCCTCCACGTTCGATCGTTTGACGAGCGAAAGTGGGAGTTATTTCCGGAATTAATTAGCCCCCAGCGTTATCTCTCGGAAATACGGGCAATCGCAAAGTGTCGAGTCTCGGTACGAATGCAAATGCGTGTCTCTGCCCTGGTCGACTGTGATAAATTCTTCTTCTGCCCAGACTTGGCTCGCCGAGATTGAGATCCACGTCGCCGAGATCGAGATCCACGTCGCTCTTCGGTTTCCCAACAGATTGACGAAATGTCTACAGTCTTCGGGAAGATACCGCGACGATAACTCGGGCGTCAGACTGCCAGGCTTTCAGCGATCAAAGTTAGGGTGAAATACTGAAGGTCAGTGTTTTGTAGTGAGAAACGGAGCCTAAAAGAACAGATTTACGACTTACAGGAGCGATCAGGCGCTTTACTTTATTATGTTTTATTAAGACATTTGTCAGATATATAAAGAACCGAACTCTAGCTACCGCATAGACTAGGACGACAGTTCCACTCTTCATGATTCGAGCAGTTCGACATTTTCGCATTTATATGCCGGTGGTATATTTTTCTCCGATCATGCTGTATATGAACTTATCACAAGAAAATTGTTGAACGGGGAAAGTACAATCTTAGGTGATTTTTATCAGCTAATTTTGTATCGGTCAAATCGAAGCTTGAACATCCCCCCCCCGGGCATACCTCGGGCATTTGACACCTTTGCCGTCCCCGGGAGGAGGGAATTTGATTATCAGAGTCTTCCATGGGGTGGGGAATTTGATCCCCATGCGTTAGGGATGGGGAATTTGAACTGCACCCTCGATTTCATGTGAAATCTCTGGCGTGGTGAGCTATCATGAGGGACACGGTGTTAGGGAGCATTAATAATTTATCTAGAGGGTGGGCTATGATGATTTCCTTATTTTTTCCTTTCATTTTTTTGAAGCCCCCCTGATCATCTCAGGGTTTTTTTTCTGACCCCCCTCAAGAGATGTTGATTTATCAAAGGAAAATATCATAGCCCCCCCCTCCCCCAGCACATATCAAAGTCTTGTGACAGGTATATTGAGCTTTATTAGTAATTAACATAGTAAATCAGTAACAACTTGCACTAATGAAATGGTGATGTATATTTCAAGATGTCAATTTATGAAAATATAATGCTCAGTACAATTAAATCTCTACGCATTTTAAATTCAAAATAACAAGCAAGTCATCTTTCAACTCTTGGAGAGCATCAAACAATCTTGAGTCTTTTTTATATTTAGAAACTAGCAAATCCATTTTGTCTGTAATATCATCTCCACTCAACTGTGGTGCACCAGTCTGTGCAGGACTGTGCAGGAATGGTTGGCCCCCCTATGCTCGATGTAATTTTCCTTGGAAATTTTCCACAGCCCCCCCTAAATCATAGTAGGGAAAAGGAGTGACCCCCCCCCCTCAAAATCATCAAAGCCCACCCTCTAGGTAAATTATGAATGCTCCCTTAGAGGATTTTCGTGGAAAAGATTGTGCCTTTGTGGCCAATTGGTTACGTTTAAACAAGCTTTGTGCCGTATTTGAAGGTATTTAAATTTTAATATTTTTAATATTGGATTCAGGCTTTGAATATATGAATGTATTAAGTTGTGTTGACAATGAAATACAATACCTATTACCGGCGATTCAATTCAACAATAGAAAGCTCAACAGAGGTCAATTACTTTGACCTGCTGCGTCTCAGTAGGGGAGATTTTTTTCATAGAACGTTTTGTAGTATGTTGCATGACACACGAAGACAATCTGAGCATTCAGTGACCTGGTAGCAGCGACTTCCGCCGCTTTGCACGAAAAATTTTGTTCGTAGTAAATACACTAACAGTGTTTCTCAGTTTTTGTTACATTGAATGCAAATTATTTAGGTATTTTAGGTATTTTATTTATTTGCCACACGATTACAATAATACGAAAAGATGCCAAAAAAAAAATTTGCTGTATTTGTAAAGATTTTGTTCGACAACTGAAGGCGTTTCTGCCGTCCTTCTGTCATTTATGCACCTGTGAAATGTCCCCAGGGTGGGGGCATTTGATCGCCTGAACCGACCCAAGTGTTGGGCATTTGAACGGCATTTTGGCCCGGGTAGGGGGGAATTTGAACAATAATTTTCAAAAAAGTCAAATGCCCCGGGGGTTGCCCGGGGGGGATGTTGACGCTTCGATTTGACCGATACATTATCTGTATATGGAAGAACAGCGGCATGGCTGAGTAAAATTCACGACGCGAGCGGGAGAGTCTGTAAAATAAACGCCTGCCGCCTGCCGCCTGCCGCCTTGGCGGATGGTGGAAAATAATAAATAAATAAATAAAAATAAATAAATAAATGCCAAGACTAGAAATACGTAAATCGCAGGACCTCGCGAAGGACTTCGGGCGAACAGCAAGTAAAGCCGAGAAGAAAATTTGTAAATCTAAAAATTGTAAGCTATATATAGAAACATAACAAAATTGTTATACCTAAAATGAAAACTAAACGAAAAGAAAAAGAAAAAAAAAAGAAGAAAAGAAAAGAAAAGAAGCGAAGAGAAAAGGATATGTTTATAGTCGAATTCGGGACCTGCGATACACCGGGACAAAGCTTTACCACTAGGCCACGTGGAACACACAGGTAGTTTGGCTGAAATTTTATTATTAAAACCTTCGGCCTTATTAAACGTGAATTCAAAGATATTTTTCAGAAGAATATGACTGCAGTTTCTACAGTGAAAACCCAACGTAGATGCATTTACGGTATAAATTCGTCTGCGAGCAAAACGTGTTTTGTTACCGCGATGTTCGCTCACATGTTAAGGCTAATTATCCATAATCACTTCCATTTGCTCTTAAAGTACTTTAGCATTCGAAATTCATTGAGTAATCTTCCCTCTGCTCCGCTGTTAGCTGATGCCGTCTCCATCTTTGTTGCTTCAATGCGCCGTCGAATTTCAAGTCGGCGTTCTCGCTCCAGAGGATTTTTCGGTGTCAAATCTTCCCTTGCGAGGATTGACAATTCGGCGTTCTTGTGTTTGCTGTTCTGTTTGCATGAAAAATGGCTTGAGATTCACCGATAGTAAACATTGTTGTGCAGACTATGAAAAGACAGCTTTTCATGAATACTTTGGTCATTGATGGGAATTCGAAATCGCTTTCAGTCGAATACTGAATAAAGGATTAAATGAACTGCAAAAACTGTGGACGAAGATCTTGCTAGTTGTATACGTTGGATCTCTAGGAAAGATCTCCCGTTTCTGTTATTTAATTTTGCCAAATTCACTTGCTATATTAAATTTCTGTGCTGCTGGCGATATCGAAGAGAATGGTCAAGGGAAGCCACGCTAATGTATTATTTGGCCGAGAGAAAAGTTAATTTGTGCAGTATCTTTATTTTTTAATACATTGCTGTTTGCCACAGCCCCCTGCTTTAGATCTCTTCCGGGTCAACTGACCCCGATTACGAACAAAACTTTAAAAGGTGGAATAGCGGGCTCGGCCTCTCGCTTAGATTCAGGCCTTTTTGGAGAGGGGTGAGAGGAGAGAGATTTTTAAAAAAAAAACGCCCAGAGGGTAATAGGTATGTGCGGCTCCGAAGGGTATGGTTTTTGCGCCGTTTTGGTCTGAAAACTGGTATAGACTTTGGTCTGGAATCGGGTATAGTTTTCGAGGAAACTAATTCCAAACGAATAAGAAAGAAAGAGAAGTACGCGAATTCGAAATGGATTTTAAGAAATCTTTTTTGTTGGCGTTCCAATCCAAGTAATGGTGGCATAATTTATAAGAGACCAGGACTGAAAACGGGAGTGAAAAATATAACATTTTTTGGCCTGAAATAGGGTCAGGATTTAAAGAACCCGGCGGTACACCCCCACCAAGAATTCCAAGGAGTACCCCCCGGGAAAAATAGACTACGAGTAGTCCCCCATTTTTCCTCAGGGATAGTAGGGCGAGCGAAACGCGAGCGCGCGTGAAAATCACCCCACGCGAGAAAAGGCGACACGCGGCGGGGAGAGAGAAAAATGAAATGAAAAAATGAAAAAATGAAAAAATGAAAAATCATTTTTCTCTCTCCCCGCCGCGTGTCGCCTTTTCTCGCGTGGGGTGATTTTCACGCGCGCTCGCGTTTCGCTCGCCCTACTATCCCTGAGGAAAAATGGGGGACTACTCGTAGTCTACGGGAAAAAAGGACAAAATATCTATAGTAAGCTTAACTTTAAGGGATTGTTCAAGTCTCAGCTTTCAAGGGATGTACATTTATTTAGTTCCTTGTTTTCTTCATTTTTCATTTAATTTCAAAGACCCAAGAGCTACTTGGATCGAGCCTCGATGCGAGCGAAAGAGTTCTCTGCGCCTCTCGCGACTGCTCGTGTGCATTACGCTTCGAGTTTGTTTCTTCAGACTAACTAGTCAGTCTG